CCCCAAAACCCCAAAACCCCAAAACCCCAAAACCCCAAAACCCCAAAACCCCAAAACCCCAGATATCTCAAATAAATTTGAACTTGAGTTAATAATATTAAAAATGAGCATGATAGACACAATTGCGCAGGGCGCTGTCAATGTATTTGACGTTATCCAGCACAGAATACCTCCAGGTCCTGGGTTCATTCCTTTGAACTGGATCATCAACACCCAGAAGTTCGGATGCTGGATCTTTGTCTTTAGTTTGATGATTTATTACGATAATTGGTCTATTGGAGCATGGATGTATCTGTTCCTACACGGCTCTTATGGTATCACTTGGTTTATTAAAGATCTTGTGTTTCCAGATGAATCCTTCCAGAAGAGAGTGACATTCTTCTCTGCTATTGCATCCTGTATCTTGCTCATTTCATATTTACTACCAGGATATCAGATGGTTGCTAGGATTGCAAAGAACAAACCCACTGAGGATAGAATCATTGCATCATCGGTTTGATATATTATCGGGCAAGTGCTAATGACTGGTTCAGATTGTCAGAAATATTACACTCTTAAGTATGAAAAGGGACTTATAACAACAGGGTTCTTTAAATTGACAAGGAATCCTAATTATCTTGGAGAAGTTATGATTTACAGGTAAGAACTGAACAAACGTTAAGATTTGCTTTGATTATTTTTCGTAAACATATGAACATATCTAAACCTTTTTATAGCTCGTTTGCCATGATTGGAGGTAGATGGGAGTTCTGGGGAATCCTAATCTTTGTTTGGACGGCTCTCTTCCTCCCAAGAATGTTAATTAAGGATATTAGCTTGAGGAAAAAGAAGGGATGGGATAAATATGACAGCTATATGTTCTGGCCAAAGTTTAGCTCCTCATGTTTGGATAATGTGATCATTTACGCTGTTGTCATCACTCTGGGCTTAACAATGTATGCTTCTGGAGGATTTCTATTCTTTTATTCAGAAGTCAGCTATATGATAACATATAATGATTATGGAAGAATGTTGACCCTCATTAGCAAAATTGAACTGTTCACTTTCCTTGCCCAAGGCTTAGAAGCGATTAAGTTATATTTGTAAATCCAATATTACTTTGACATAAAGGGGTTTTGGGGTTTTGGGGTTTTGGGGTTTTGGGG